TCTCTTCAAAACGACCCATAAGAATATAGTTCTTTTCACTGTCAATTGTAATTATATTCTTATTGTAGAATGACTGAAGTCAATGGATGATTTTTAATTCCTATGAATGTGTTGTGTACGTACTTCAGACTGTGAACTGGTCATCTTCAGTAAATCGTGTACATTAAACACTTCTAGCCTAGATAAGGCCATATGAGCAAACATTTCTCCTTGAACTATAGATTTTTGTCATCATTTCCAAACCATACATGCCAACTGTCCTATTGTGAATCATACAGTGATATAAATAAGACATTTTTATGTACATTTCTTATGAAAAACTTTCATGTATTCATCATAGATAGATATCAGTTTTGCAAACAATTAAAAAACTTGTAGAACTGAACAGCTGTTTCTTCTTGGTTAGCAGTGGTGGACAGTCATACTTTATAGCAGTTTGACAGAAGTAAGAAACTGCTGACTATTGAATGTCAACCCAGGGGCTGAATGGTTAACGTGTTTACTGTGAAACCTGGAGATTTTGAGTTCGAACCCTGACGAGATCTTGGGTGTATACTACTGAAATCTCACATACTAAGAAGAAACAATTGTCTAATACTTTCAAATTTTCAATGACTCTCCTAATGAAGTCATTTATTTCATGATGAATACTACCTTAAAAATATATTTAAGTAATTAAGATTGAAGTTAAAAAAAATGTTTAGTTTTGGTCAACAGTGAAGTGTGAAATCGTTGAGGTTGAAAAGGAAATAGAAGAAGTAGGAGATGTTACACATGTATATATGTACATGGTTGGTTGTTCTGTTGTTGGCTATCATGGGACAAGGCTTAGCTAAATTAGTAAGCGCTAATACCATACTAATCAGTACCTTACTTACATGTAAATACTGAAAACCAAGGACAAGAACATGTTCACGGTAAGAATGTCGAATTTATTATATCGTCTATGAATAAATGAGCTACGGACTCCGAGTATGTGACTTTTTGTCAACCTCAACAAGACTCTGTAAAGGGTGAATGTCAACGGGTGGATACCTACAAAAATTAAAGTTACCCACTGACGTTGTAAAACTTTATTCAGCTAGTATTTAAATATTTTAAATGGTAACTTATTTGTTTTAAATCTAGCAGTATTTCGTGCCATAAAGGTGCACTACATAATTGTCCCTTAGTCTAAAAAAACATTCAGGATATATTAGAAATTTTGATTTATAACTAGTTGGTTAGTACTACATTTTATTGAATAAGATTTAGATAAATGTGATCCACATATTTATATGATATCAAGGAGAAATTTTAGTTAGTTGAAGGAATTAGCGGTTGGCGTTTGTATTCTGTTCATAACTCAAGTGATACTTGAGTTATACTGACTGATTAGAAAATTATTTCACAAATCTTGAAAACATTATTTATTTCAAATGATATAGTTGACCTCATCATGAGTTATAAGTTGGATGGAAATAGCAGAAGCAGAAGCACAGGCTAAATTATTAGGTTACATGAACAAATTTCCACAGAAATAGTGAAAATGTCTAATAAATATTCGCCTACAAGGATAATATTCTTATATACTCTTCAAGGTGAAAACGATTATTACTATAAAAATGTTTGGATATTTTCCACCGTTTTTAGTCGAAACAAAAGATGAAAAAAAAAAGGAAAAGAAAACATTAAAATGAAATTAGAGTTATGCACCATTTCTAAAAGATTATTCTATTTACTTTTAAGGACAAATTTGAACCACAAAAGAAGAATAAATCAAAGGATAGATGGATGAATATATATAATTAGAGAAAAAGCAAAATATGTTAATATCTATCAATGGATAAAAGATAAATAATGTAAAAGGTGTACGGTGTGTTTACCTGACCTTAAAGTTAAAAAAAAAAATATCTTTTATCATTTTTAGAAATCAATTATCAAAGTGTAGATATAGGTTATTAAATAAACTGAAGGATAGGATGGGTTTTCGATTACATCAGGCACTTGTAGACATTTTATAAGTTTATACCCCATTATCTAACTGCACAATAGATATACGATATTATTATATAACTAATACTCAGGATATGACAAGATAAACAATTCACTGTTATTATTATTTATTAGAACGCAAACGTTGTACAACAAGGACACCAAGAAATGCGCCACATAAAATAATGTAACAAGATTATAGAGACAGACATAAAGCAAAGTGAAGTGGATATAAATAAAACATGATAAGAAGAGAATGATTCGAAGGGTAGTTCAGTAGAATATATTCGAAAAGAAACATTCATTACTTTTCAGTCAGCGGCAGAAGATAGGAGGAAGCTACAATATGACTCCCACTGGTTTCGATCCTCAGTCATATCTGACTTCTCAGATCCCACCCAGAGAGTTATGATGAACCAACAGATGCTAACCCGATACTATTACCCTTCATCCCATGTCGCAACGTCATGCATTGACCATGTTTCCGCTTCTTCAATCCAGTCCCAGAGTTAGCAAGCAATGAACGGCGTGGAGGCCGTTGAGAAGACATGTGTAAGGCATGTCCAAGCCACTGAAGCCGGTGTTTCTAAATGACTTCACTCATGGAATGACGATCTGCATCATGCCCAAACACATACTGTCATACCTCAGAATTACCTAAAAAGTGTTGCCATCGGGTACGAGGAATTCTACGGAGACAGCAGTGATCGAACACATAGAGTTATCCCATATCTTCAGCTTGGAGAGGCCAGGTTTCACAGACGTACAGCAGAACTGCTAGCACAAAAACGTTCTAAGCTAACGTCGCAACGGCTCCAAAAGAGGCGCAGACTGACGTATGCTTAAAAGCTGTCTCAGTATACTACTAATCTTAAGGTTATTTCAGCTACAGTTGGTCTAATGGATGGAGAAGAATTGACATGCTGACTTCTTTAATGGTGCAGATGCTCTTTTTAGAAATGTTTGTCAAAATGAAAGCTTGTTAAAACTAAGGATTATGTAAATATAGCTAGATGCCTAAAGCCAGTCATTCGGGAGACCTACCTTATCCAGATTTGCAGTCTGTTGATGCGCATAGCTGATGTATACCTGTCACTCTCAGGAGACTAATATTCTCTTGAGGATTGGGGATTGTATCACATGGTAATCATCAGGTGGTAACCAATATGACTGCAAGGTCTCTAATTATCAATCAGTTTTGCAATGATCGACAATGTTTGTGGTTAATGAGGGTGATATTGTCGGTGTTGTATTCTCTGAGCTGAATGGCTTAGTCGTGAAGCTTCCATTCTCATTCTAGACAACATCAAATCCCCAACTATAATACCAACAACCCAACAGCACACAAAATCATTTGTATCAAAATATCTTTCAAGAGAATGAAGACACATTGTAGTATATCAATTCTGCAGAGAAGAGAAGAAAATTATTTAATGACTATTTTCAGGAAGAAAGGCTATCCATGCAACTTTATTGAAAGATATTTGCATAATTCAATGTCAACCATGAAGTCAACCTCGAAAACCAACAAACAAACTGTCTTACCCTAGATAAATAACATCTCTGAAATCAAGACCAGACTATTGAAACCTTTTGAAATAGCTGTAGCTCATAAGTCCACAGAATCTCCTCAATCTTTCTTATGCAAGCCAAGAGATGCAGTAGCGGTGGAAGACAAATCAGACGTTATCTACAAAATAAACTGCAGAAACTACAAAAAACACTACGTCGAATAGAGTTATCGCCTTCTATGTAACCATCTAAGCAAAGAGCAACTAGCAGTGAAACGTCTTGACATAACCTTGCTAATGTCAATGCATGCAGACAACTGCGGACATGAATTTGACTGGGAAAATTTAGAAATTCTGGATAGAGGAAGTACAAAGAATGCTGGAGAATTTCAGAAGCTTGTATGTAGGTCAGTCAACAATCAACAGATACATTAACACTGACCCAATCTATCAATTAATAACAAACAACAAGAAAGCTAAAGTTCACATCCTCAGGACAACCAATCGGAATAATTATGGAAACAGTGACAAGACCTTAGCACAAACAACCAACTATACACGAGACCATCAGAACAAGCTACTCAATAAATTATATTATGCCTAACTTCTTATTGAAGTTTGTGCTGATGATGTTGTCTAAAATCATAATGAAAACTCTATGATTAAACCACCCAGAACATAGAATACAATGCCAACAAAATTTTCAGTGATACCATTTTGCTAAGGTACTTTAATATCTAAGCTGTGTGACAGAAATGCTAACTACGTTAATCTTTGAAAAATCTACCTTACTGTAGAAAGATCAGAAATTGTTTACACACTTGTATCTCATAGAAATTTTTGTAAACTTATCTTCTTCAGTTCACAACAAGTAGAACTGTCTTATCGGAATCGTTAGTTATTTTGTTTGAAGCGACCATTCCTGGACTCCAATCCTAGAGGGAACAACACCATTCGATAGGAGACAGATCCCTCCTGCCGACAAGCCTCAAATTGGATGAAACATGCATCCTAGGTTCCAATGTTGGCTACTGTCAATTTGTAGTATCAAAATGACAACCAAACCAGGCTTCTGGATGTGATGAAGGTTCCGTGGCCTACAATGTTCAAGTATCGAGACATCAAAGTATTCCCCAGAGATTTTGAGTCGGTCACAGTTTTCGTGGGTGTTCAGGATCCAGGAGCAAAGATCATGATGCTTGGAATGGAGAGTTGGAGAGAATGGTAGTACGACTAGAGACGGAGTTTGATAACCCAGCAAACAGGAAAGGACCAATGGAGCAGTTCTGGAGCACGGAACTTGGACTAGACGAAGATCCCATGTTATTGGCTGGACAGTTGACTTCTTCTGACCTCTCAACATATACTACTTATTTACATTCCTCTCAGTAGCACCTACCACAACAGTAATCAGGGTCACTACGCTGAAGGTCTGTGCCCCATAATTGTAATGTATCACTTTTTACAGTTAACAAATTTGCATCATAATTATTCAGACAAAATAAACCTGCTAACCTTTCTAGTTCGATTGTTCATTTCTTTCCTCTTTTCGTGTAGTTCAACATTGAATCCAGAGTTGCTATGATTCAGTTTTAGTAGTTCAGGATCTTGTGAATATAAAGAAAAGCCAAAAAATGATAATTAAAAAAGACAGCGCACAATTATGTCACTGATAAATATTAAAGAGATCAAGTTGATTGGATCACTATTGATACTAGGTGATGACTGAAGGTGAAATGAAAATTTAAAACTTTCCTGTAGGGTAACACAATAGAGGTTGTGAACTCATTTCTGCTTGTGTTGTCCTTATTATTCGTACTCGTGTTACTGTTATTATTTCGTTTCTTATATGTTTGCACGCATTTCTTAATAAACTACAGAGTATCTTACTAACTATTAGTGCTTCTTTTACGTGTTTCAATTCCTTGTTTAGATCTTTGGCGTGACAAGTCAGTTTTCTAGCTCTATCAGTTAGACATTTACCTAAGCCTGCCTTAATTGACATTGGATGAGATGACTTGAAGTCTAGATACCTGTTGGAATGTGTCGGTCCTCTTCCGTCTGTCCTTAGTTTTATCCTGCAATCCAACATAGAAAATTCTCCCGGGTAAAGAGGGAAGGTTGAGAATAGAGCTACTAACCCTACCCTGTAAAACCAATCAACCGCTACAGAAACCACAAAAACATAGACAAAATATACAAAATAAAAACAAACTTATTCCTCGCTGGAAACGGACACGTGTAATGAAGCCGGTTAGTGAAAGCCTTCAGGAAGCCAACTAGCCGGGCCGATGTGTCTTCTCTCCCTCGATGAAAGCGAAAGTAAACATGGGGACATGGAATGTCCGCACCATGTTTAGAAGCGAGCAAGGCTGCCCAGATTGCCAATGAGATGAGAAGTTATGCTGGCATAGAAGTGTTAGGAATCTGCGAAAGCAGGTGGAATGGAAGTAGACTGTCTCAACTGTCTCAACTGAGAGTCAATTATCTACTCCGATATTGTCACCCAGACGACAACCACGAACACACTGAGTTTTGTGGTGGCTATCATCATGTCCCCCACCGAAAAGTATCGAAGACTCTATCTGATGCAGTGGAAATCAATCTGCTCATGCAGGATCAGATAATGACAGTGAGATTCAACTCAGAAGGAAGTAAAGTCACAATCATCCAATGCTACGCTACACTACACTACACTACACTAGACTACACACCTACAAATAATGCAGATGAAGAGAAGAAGGAGATATTCTACAGACAAGTGCAATCAACACTGGACAAGACTCCACCTCAGTTGGCGAAATCAGAGTTCTAATGGGTGGTGTGACATGAATGTCTGACTGGGAGCAGACAACGCAGGAAGTGTAGCAATCATGGATCGGGAAGTAGTGAGTGAAATGAAGGAGAAAGAGAAGGAGAAGTGTTTGCAGACTTGTGAGCATTCGAGGATTTGGTGATTGGAGGCGATGCAGTGTGTACAAGCACAAGTATATTCACAAAGTGACCGATATGGATTTGATTTCCCCAGACAGCGGGACACACTACACTAGAAATGAGATGAAGTTGATCTGAATGTGAATGAAGTGGCTAGGCATCGTATTTGACAGAAGATCAGATGAAGAATGGTAGTGGATGTAGCTTGACACTACTCACTGTGTAGTGCAAGGAATCCACGTTTAGAATCGAGTTGAGAGCCTTGAAAGAAGTTGGTGATATACCAAAGTCCAATTTGAACACCCAGGTTGACGTGGTGGAGATCATGTGAGGAAGAAGTGAAAGAAGACAAGAAATGGATGTCGTTGGACACATGAAAGATGATAGAGGAGAGGAGGATGGTGAAGCAGAAGAGAAACCAGTGCAAGATTGCCTTACGAAAAGAGGAAGTGAGTATAACGTATGAAACACTGGACAATGAAGTGAAGAAGAGTGTGCGGAAAGACAAAAGACACTTCTAGAGTACACTGGCAAGTGAAGCAGAATAGGCTGAGAGCTGGTAGGAGTGACCTGACTACATTGTATCAAATTACCAGGTTACTATCTGGTAGGGAAGAGATCAACACAGATAAAACCAATAAAAGATGATGAAGGAAATCTAATTACGAAGAAGAGAAACAAATGAAGTGATTTGCTGACCACATTGAGAAGCTCTTGAATCGACCACCACCCGCAGTTCTTTCAGAAATATCACCAGCAACAGCAGAACTACCAGTGGAAACAAGCCCTCCGACGAAAGTCGAAGTTCTGGACGCCATAAAGGTGCTGAAATTTGGGAAAGCCGCAGGACTAGATGGAGTTCATCCAAAAGCACTGAGAACAGACGCAAGGACGACAGCAGACATGCTCACACCACTATTGCTGAAAGTCTGGAAGGAAGGAAAGGTATCTGGCGATTTGAAGAAGGGCTTCGTTGCCAAACTCCTGAAGAAGGGCTACCTAATTCTTTACAAGAATTGCCGCGGAATCGTGTTCCCGTCCACCCCAAGTATAATATTTAACCGCACAGGCACAGACGAGGATGTGAAAGCTAACCAGGATCGCAAAGACAATAAAACAGGCGTTCATTAACCTGAAACCAGTTTGTAGATCTTCACTCAGCATAAAAAAGAAGACCCAGATTTTCCACGTCAGTCCAGTCAAGTCAGTGCTTGTGTGTGATGGTTGAGAGACTTGGCACGTTACGAAAGGCAGTTCCAACAAACTACAGATATTGATCAACAGCTACTGCCTACGCTGGCTCAATACTGAAGATCGGATGGATGGCCAGAATAATAAGATTAAGCAACAAGGAACTCTGGCCTATCAACGAACCAACAAAGCAGGAAGCTATCACTGAACAAATATGCAGTGGAAGGAAGTGGAGATGGATTGGATGGGCATACACTGAGAAGACCATCATGCACCAGTCTAGTTGCTCTTGTGGAACCCAGATGGAAGCGATGAGTTGGGCGTTGGGGGCGAGGGTGACGTGGAGGAGATGGTGTGAGGAAGAAATGAGAGCTTGTGGTCAGTCGTGGAGCCAGGTTGGAAAGATTGCAGAGAACAGGGTGGAATGGAGACTTGCTACTGAATTAGTTCGCTCCACTAAGAACCCAAGGGACAAATAATATAATAATAATACAAATAGAAAAGACTCCACAACCTCCATTGTGTTAACGTAAAAGTAGGGAACATCAAATCTTTAAGTAAAGTTCTCAACAAGGTAGCATTTAGGGGTAGCATTTAAACCTACAAACTCACTCACTGGTAAGCTTTATCAGCTGGCTTTAGGATCCAACAGAACCAATTAGGCAAAATAATCTAATGTATCAAATTCTATGTAATGACTATGAGGTCAATCTAGCCGTTCGGATTCAGTTAGAATTTGGACAAATATAGAATGACAGACCCGAATAAGATCAATGATCTTGAAAAAACTCGACTATTGCAATGCTTGCATTAACACACAACTACACAATAGGATGGGATAAAGCCACTGTTCAATATGATTAGATGGAGATTGAGAGAGATTGATTACTGAATCTTTGTTCATTGAATCAACACCTAACACATGTAATAGAAATGACGTTCACCTATACCAGAGATATAGAAAATTTTACTACCAATAAAAACAAACAATATGAGGTGATATAACTGTGAAAATCAAATGTCGAAATTGGTGTGTGATTACATTGATACGATTATGAGCGATAATACTTTATGCATGAAACGTGACTAAGTAAATAATACTATATCACTGTGTGTTGTAAATCAAATAAACAAATCGTATGTGGTATTAAATTCTACCATACTACCCAAGTTTTACACCTATAATTAAGGTTTTCTAAAGCCTGAATACTATCACCTTTCATTTCAAATCATAAAGTTTGAATTGTTTAACTTGGCATGAATTATTACGCAGCATAGAAGTTAGTTCGGAAAAATCATCTGTTTTTCGGTTTCTTAGACTAGCTGATGATATTGTAACTTGGTTAAAGCTTGAATGTATGCTTATCCCATTTCTTTAAAGTACACAAAAAAGAGGTAAAGTTTTCTAAATAGAAGTTTTTGAGCAGAAAAGAGTTACAGCTATTTAGATAAATCTCCTTCACTTATCTAGGAAGCACTGTTTCAACTACAGGCGGCACAGACGAGGATGTCAAAGTCAGAATCGGAAAAGCAAGACAGGCGTTCATTAGCCTGAAACCAGTGTGGACATCTACTGCACTCAGCACAAAGCGTGAACAAGATCCGGATTTTCAACACCAACCCAGTCAAATGAGTGCTTCTGTATGGTTCAGAGACTTGGCGCGTTACGAAAGGCATTTCCAATAAACTACAGACATTCCTCAACAACTTACGCTCGCTACTGAAGATCAGTGGAGATGGCCAGAAATAATAAGCAACAAGGAGCTCTGGGTACGAGCCAACCAAGAACCTATCAAGCAACAAATATGCAGGAGGAAGTGGAGGTGGATTGAGCATGCACTGAGAAGGCCGACTGAGGACATCACGCGTCAGGCCAGCTGCTCGAGTGGAATCCCCATGGGAAACGACGAGTTGGACGTCCGAGGGTGACATGGAGAAGGTCGTGCGAGGAGGAAATGAGAGATTCTGGGCTGTCGTGGAACCAGGTTGAAAAGATTTCAGAGAAGAGAGTGTGCTGGAGACGTGCTACTGAAGCCCTATGTTCCACTAGGAACCCAAGGGACTAATAATACTAAATAATAATATTTAGATGAATTGTTTATCAGTAACAAATCAAAGTTAACCGTTATTCAGAATTTGTAATTTTTCCCTATACAGTTAACTGAGCCTGAACTATCAACCTTAGTCTTCATACTAACTAATACTATTTATACAAAAAATACCTTCAGTAATGATGGGCAGTGGCTAGCAGTGGAATCCAGGATGCGCATTTCTTCCTATTTGGAGCTTGTCAGCTGGATGTACCTGCCTCTCAGTGAGTCTTGTTGTCCCCACCTGGACTTGGACTCGGGAGCGATCGTTTCAAACGCCAGGGTGTTATCCACTACAGGCAATAACACTAATACCTTCATTGATTCAATATCACAATGGATAACCCACATTTGTGAGGCTGTCATCACTTGTTTGAAATGTTCATAGGCAA